AAAAAAAAAAAACTTATCACTATTACAAGGATAATAACATTATCCCAAACTCCTAGTTGGTCAAAGGTAGAAGTCACATGGTCATCATTTTTTTGCATGGATTTCAAAGATTCACAACTATATTTTCAGATAGATATCACTTATACTTTAGTTATTCCTATACTTTAGATATTCCTAAACAAACCCGAACTCAATCTCTATATAAAGATGTTAGTTTAATTATTTTCTTTTTTTTGATCCATTGACATCTAGAGAGAGCTTTAGAATTCTTAGAAAAATCCTAATGCAAGAAAAAAAAGGGAATACCCTAATTTTTGCAAGCATACTAAAAGACTTCCTAGAAAGTAAGAAAAATACAATTTTATTACACAAAAACGATACATAACAAGGACATTTAGAACATGAAATAACACCTAAACTTGCATTCCATCGCTTGAGAAGAAAGATACATGTGACTTTGAACTTGCGGAGCGAAGAAAGAGGTAAGCCGAGATGAAGGAGAGGACAAGCTCGCAAGCTTTCCCAAGAAGGAAGAAGAAGAATGGAACAAGCTCGCAAGCTTTTCCAAAGAAGGAAAAAATCCCCAGGTTTTGTATTCCAAAAATCTCATTATAACCTCTCTTTTTGCTTACAAAACACCTCAAATTTATGGGAGAAAAGGGGGCAGCCAAACAGCCCAAAACATCCCCAATTAAACCAATTAGGTAAGGGAAAATAGAAGGCCAACAATTAGTCCAGAAATAACACCCAAAGAGCCACATAGGAAACCGGAAAAGGCAGCCAAGGGGGCAGGAACGGTTGGCCACTAGGGGAACCGGAACAGGCAGCCCAGGGAACCAGAATAGACAACCCAGGGAATTGGAACAGGCAGCCGGGGGGCGGGAAGAACCAGCCACTGGTAGAGCCGGGGCGGGTGGGGGGTGGGGAATGTCATTCCCCCCCTTTGCCTACCTTAAATCCTTAGCCTTACAAGTTTATATTTTTGTAGATCCTATGAGGCAACTAACGATCTTAAAAAATTCTCCTCGTTAGATAAGGAATCAACTTCCATCCTTTAAGTTTCCTCTTTGATAATCTGAAGGGTCAACTTTTAGCATGTCATTCTAATTATCTTGGCACATTTATGAATTTTTATCAATTAAGTATCTTGATATATACATGGAATGCTCTACTTGGTATTTTAAAAAATGGATAATGGTGATTGAACTTTCCCATCTCCAACTTCCTTATCATTTTGTTATATTATAGTTTGGTTACACTATGCTTGAGACTCAAAGTGGTAGGGGCAAAAATAAGAGGTTTCATGTGCTAAGTATGCCTCATAAATAGAGCTCTCTATATGAATAAAGTTCAACTTCAACGAAAAAATCCATCTTTCAAAAACCTACTCCCAATTAATATCGACTTCATATAAATAAGCCATGTTGATAAATCAAAATGTAAAATAAGGTTTAAACTTGTAAAAAGACTTACATTTCATTAGCTGGTTTTCCCATATACTAATCACGAGAAAAAGAAAAGTATAAGGAAAAATAAAACAACGAAATTTAGAATCCAAATTTATGTCATAAATTTATCGTCTTGCTAGTTACATAAAAATAAAACAAATTCAACTTTTAGAAGGATGACTTGAGGAAGCTGTAGCAATGTGGAATTCATCATGCAATAATAACTCAAATCCTTCTGGCAAAGTTCAAAACCTCAGATCGAGAGCAACTTCCCATGGGATTTTGCCAATCTAGATCACTAAGTGCAGCATAACTCAAGTCTTTAATTACTTCTGATCAAAACAACCTTCACCTTGAACTCATTTATTTCTCGACGAGATTCTTGGGCAAGTATATCAGGCAAGAAGGATAAGGCAATTCCAAACCATTTGAGATTAGTCTCAATTGCATCATGCCATGACTTTTCTATTTCTCATAAGGCGTCAAATCAATCGATCTTAGTCTCTATAATTTCAACACCTATTTGTAGTTCTAATGCTGTTTTCAGAATTGACATGGCTTCAACAAGTTCTTTGAACATTATTGTTAAGATAGTTATTCACAATAGAGGTGTAAGTGAGCCGAGCAGGCTCGAGCTCAACTCGTTTATGGGCTCGCGAGCCGAGCTTATCGAGCTCGTGAGTCAAGCTAGAGCTCGAGTTCGAGCTTGAGCCAACTCGAATAAATATTAATTTTTTTAAAATAATTTTACTTTATTTATTAAATTTATAAATTTTATTTAAATGTTAAACATTTCATATATTTTTTTTAAATTTTTTCTAAGTTTTAAAAATCCTGACTAATTTTAAAATTTTTTAAAATTCCCGCCTAAATTTAAAAATTTCCGCCCACGGCTGGCGAGCCGGCTCGAGCTCGTTTATAGTGAGACGAGTTCGAGCTCGAGTTCCATCTAACGAGCCGAGCTAACTCGAGCTCGAACTCGATAAGGGCCTAAACTCGACTCGACTCGACTCGTTTACACCCCTAATCCATAACTCTTCTTCCAACAACCTGGTCACAAGGCCCATCGCTTTAGGAGATATTCTTTTAAAAAGATATTGAGAAGTTTCCTCACAAAAACCGCAACCTATAAGGTAGAATCCCATTCAATGCCATCATTAATAGCTTCATTATCTCGCCTATTCTCTTCAATGACTACAACCCTATTCACCGACAATCTTCTTCTTGCAACATTTTCATTACTAGTAATTTCAACATCATTGATGTTGATGATTTCTTTGGTATCCTATTCTTGATAAGGCTCTGCAGCATTTATCCTTGCTCTTTCTATGGTTTGGAGGCTTGGAGAATCTTTCCATCATTGCCATTAAAAGATGCCCTCGGTGCTTGCAGACTTTTCTCAGTTGGACTTTGAAAACTGTATACCTCAGTAGGAACCTCCATTTTGCTTTGAGTAATATTAGTCTAAAAGTATCAAATAGCTTACTTAACTTTGAAATCAAAGAGAACGAGTAAGTCTCAAATCCGCTACTAGCTTACCTTTTAGGAGGTATTTATTTCATTTTCTTTGTCTCTTCAGCCACGACTAAAAGATCTTTAATTACTATTAATAACCACCATCTCCACGGCTGCTTCTAATGGATTCATCATGCCTAATTATTATCTAAAGCTGTGCACATGAGCTAATAAGATGACACTTACACTTCGCATATCATTAATGGTATGCGCCAATTTTAAAATTAAGATTTGAATAAATGAGATGACACTTGGTATATAATTTGTGCCTTATTTTAATTATCATAATTTATATAATTTTAGTTTAATTCTTTATTGCATTATGCCATGCATTATTAATAAGGCATATTAAATAATATGATTTTAATTTTAATTTTAATACTGTAAGAAAAAAAATCAACGAAGATTTAATGATGGCCACTTATATCCTTTTTCCATGAATTATCATGGTTTAATGATTGATATGATTTGAAATTAATTATTTACATATCATGTATAATTCATTAAAACATAGTTTGAATTTGAACTTTTATAAATGATAACAAAATAAATATTACTAATTCTAAAAGCCAACCAATCTTAAAACAAATTTTTATACTTGCCCTATTAGCAATCAAAATAATTTAATGCATAATTGATTATTAGTTGTTTAAAGTTATTGGATGTTGGTCATCACTATGTCATGCTTATGGGCACATGCTGCTCAATTTTAGTTGTTTTGTTTGGAGACTTTAAGTGAAATTAATCAAAGCTCGAACCATTGGGCTAATGCTGGGGTTGGCGGTGGACCATTACATTGTATTTTTTATAGTCAAATTTGTGATACAGTTGGCATCAACTTTTCTTCTTCATGTCTCTCAATTCCATAACTTGCGAGCTTTTTCATTTTTGTCTCCCGTGCTTTCACTGAAGAAGTATAATGCCATCACAAACCAATGCGAAAACCCTAACTAATCTTTGGCCAAAAGATGCCAGCTTTTGATGACTTAAACAGAGATTTGTGTTCGCTTGATTAGAGGTTATTCAACAAGTGAAGTGTAAGAAGAGAGAGGAGGCCTCCAATAAGCAAAAAGGTGGTGCTGAGGCTAAAAGAGATGAAAATTGCTAGTTCGCCAAGGTCCCTTCCTCATCATAGTCCATCCCTTTTTCTATAGGAAAGGTGAATTAAACTTATGTTCATTTGGTTCAGCTTCAGTTAATTGAAGTGGGTTCCAAAATTTTGGCAGTATTTTTATAAAATTATTTTTATCTGAAGTAGAAAAGATCTATTAATTTAGGAACTAGAGAGCTTCAGTTCCCTGTTTCTTACGGTGGATATCAGATATTCGAGTACAACGTGTTATTCTTTAAATAAATATTCAATAGCTTACTATTTGAAAGATGATATGTAATTAGTCTTGTGACATCTTTATTTGTAATTGATGTTATACTTATTAATATGTAATTGATTTTGTGCTTTACTTTCATATAATAAAATATTTAAGATAAAGATTTTTATCTAAAAAATTATGAAATTTGTAAGAAGTTATTTGTACATTAGTTATGCACTCCTTTTGATTTATAAGATAACTCATTTTGAGTTTTATTCTATGAGATGAATGAGATTTCTCCATTTTTTATTTAAGTCATTTTGATGAGGGTTTAAGATAAAGATTTTTTTATTTGTACATTAGTTAATGCTTTTACATATGATATTTCTCCATTGTTTTTAATGAACTCTTCATGCCAAACTTGCACAATTAATTGTTATATACCACATTTTTATGCTGGTTGTGAATTGCTAATTCCACAATAAAGTATACCTAGTTGAGCTTCTACTTGAAATAAATGTGAAAATTTATGTCAAAATTTTTCATTGACTTTGTGTTAGGAATCTCAATAATTAATCATGGTTAATAGTTTGACTGTACTTGAGAAAACATTTAAGAAGACACGGTGTGAAAAACGAGAATTCATTGGGCATGGATAAGAATTGAATGAAAACTACACTAAAAATAAAACGTTAAGTAACATATTTGATGCTTATGCATGCTTACTAGTTTCATGTAAAGCCATAGGAGGTTATTTCATGGTTAACTCAAACTAGGAGTGTAAGTGAACCGAGCCTACTTGAGCTCAACTTGTTAACAAGCTCATGAGTTGAGCTTATAGAGCCATGAGTATGAGCTCAAGTCTATACTGGCTTAGCTCATAAGCTTGTTGTGCCACTTGATTAACTTATAATACATTTAAAAATTAATTTAAATTAGCATTATATTATATATTTTAACATTTTAAGTTAATTCTATATTAAAAATAAAAATTCTAAAAAAACTGAAATATTTAATTTAAAACTAATAAATCGAACTGAACAATTGAGTCAAACTCAAGCTTTCCAAACGAGCTCGAGACTATAAATTTTTTAGGGAGTTGAGCTGGAGCTCAATAAAAACTAAATAAGCTTAGCTCGATTAGGTATATATTCGAGTCGAGTCGACTCGACTCGACTCGTTTTTACCCCTAACTCAAATCACAGCTTGCCTCTAAAGTAAAACAGGCAGATGATATTACCTTTTGGTTTTTTCTCATATGAATTTTGCTACAAGTGTGCAGAAAATTGTTTCTTTCAAAGCAGCATGTTGAGATAAGGATTTAAGAATGTTGAAATGGGATGTGAATTTTGTTGTTTTATAATGTTTCTCAGGATATTTGAAGTTCTCTGGTAAAGCATCTCAGAGACATGCCTCTTTGAAAACAGGTATATGAATCCCTTTCTCTGAAAATAGGGTTTATGATTTTAGATTTTAGCAGTTCATCCTTTCAACAATAATTTTATGTAGATGCAGATTTCCACCCTGTATATTCAGAACTCTTGGAAGGCATAAATGACAAACTTCTAAATAGTGAGTCCGAAGTGAGTATGTACCTGGTTCACTTTGTTGGCTCTATGTTGATTGATATATGTATGTTTTTGCTGATTCCGCATGTGTGTTCCATGCTAAGATGATTGAAAATCACTATCAACTGTCCATTATTGCCAGATATAGGAAGAATTAGTATTGATCAATGGTACAAGAAGCATTAAAAAGAGCAGGGATTATATAATGAAAAGGAGATTAGCGATTTAAATCCATGTCATATACTTATCATTATGTTTGCTTTAATTCGGGCTTGACTCGATTCTATTTAACAATCGACGGCCCATCGATGTCAAATCAAACTAGAATCGATTCGAATTGATTTGGCGTCGTCAATTTTGATTATGAAGGAAGGATGGACAAGGACGAATGCAAGCTCTGCTTAAAATGAGGTAAAAAAATAATGTAGATTACTACTCAATTATTAAAATTAACAGGGATTGAGTTATAATGAAGTTAAATTCTTCTATTGAAGTTTTTGTCCACATCATTTTATAGGAAGAATATGTTAGTCCTATATTCAACTTCAATGCTAGATCTCGCGACAACATTTTGCTTTCTTACTTCTCCAGGAAAGAAGACAGTCTTCTCAAAAGCACATTATTTGTAATTAGAGTATTGATCTTCAATAAATCTAACATAATCAATATCAAAAAATGCTTTAATGTTTAAATGATTTGGTATTTGATATTAAAACCTTTCTTTAGAGATTTTTTATGCATCTTAAAAATCCCAATATTAATTCCTCATGTTTTTCTTTGGGTTTTGTATATATTAACTAACCACATCGACAACAAAGCATACATGGAGTGGGGTGACAGTAAGATGGATAAGCTTAACAATTACTCAACTAGACATCGATGGTGAGATGTATCTTTGAAGTTTTGATAATCATTGAATGATTTTAGAATATCCACGGGAGAGTTAGCAACCAATAAGTTACAAAATTACACTTTTTAAGGTTCTTATGTAGTTTTTCTTTTGGAAGACTTTGGAAGAACATCTTAGATGAACAATATAATCTTTTATTTATTCACCATGTATCCTAATATCTTCAAAATAAATTGTTGGAAAACTTATAATGAAAGTTTAATGCGCAGTGGTTCTTTTTTGCTTAAATGTGCAAAGCATAATGTGTGTGTGTAGGAATTTATTTAATCAAATTTAAATCTCATCAAGTAATAATTTTTATTATATAGGTTGCATCCTTGTATTTCTCTTATTTTCCCAAAAAAATTTGAGATGGATCTGACAAGTTAATGCATCTTTTTTCTATAAATATCGCTAGCCCTAAGTGCAGAGTTATAGTTCTCTTTTATTCTACATATTAAATCAACCACTCAACTAGGTGCGTGAGCTAAACCCAAAAGCTGCCCAAAAATGCAGAATGAAGAAACGTGCAAGCAGTTTCACACTTGTGTGATGTGCTACTCGTGCTCCTTTCTCTTTATAGGAGAGAAGATTGTAAGTGTCACCCTTCGTGCTGCAACACTTCACTTTTGAAGTGCACTTGCTTTTAACAACCTTGCTTATTGCATTTGATAATTAAAAAAAATTAGTACTTGCTATTCATGTAAATTATTCTCAGTTTAAATTTTTTCCCGTCATATTTTTTATGCATTTTGAGGTCATGTTAACTACTTATTTAGTCAATTTTAAAAACATTGCAACTATTCATCATATTAAGCATATGATATATGAATTAGTAATATTTGATAATAATTTATACTTGATGATTATTTAAAATTGCGCAATTTGAGACATGTATTGAAGCAGATAAAAGAACTTAAGATACATGCCTCAAATGGAGCTATTGATGATTTGATGGGTATGCCTCAGTGCCTCAAGGCATTTATAATGAGATTTAAGCCTCAATTTTCATAGTCATTGGTGTTGGGCAAATTTAATTGATAAACATAAGCCCAATTACCATTATGATTTATACCCAAACCTATTTCATTAAAAAACCTAGAATCCTAAACCTTGATTCACGTACATGCTACTTGTGACTTGCATGCTCCACAGGAGAATCTAACCTACGAGAGGTTGCGTTGCTAGTGTTGTTGATGCTTCTATTGCAGCACTCACTGGTATCCCTTTGACATAACATATTAACCTCTACACTTGTAAAATTTGTATATGAGAGATGAATTTTGAAGGGATATAATTGAGAAAGATTGTTTTAAATGAAATTTTTTGACTAAGTGCAAGTTTTGTTATAACAACTACAATGCCTCTGTTTCAAGTCTTGAGAAAATTTGATGCAGAGAAAACCCCAACAATGGTTTCATTTATAATGCTATGGGTGGGACGAAGGAGTTGATAACAAAAGGCTTAGGTGGAGATTAGGGCAATTACAAGAAAATTTGAGGGATTATAGATGAGAAAGGGAGCTTCAAGTGCATCGATATTTGCAAGCAATGAGGGGTATTATCTAAAACCTAAATATCAATATGACGAGAATAAGTCCACCAATCTAGACATCAAACTTGGAATGTACTATTGTATGGATCAAATGATTGTTGATTCAATAGGGAGAGGGAAGGCTGTTCTCCAACTTGTAGCTTTTAGAAACTAGGAAGTGTTCTTTATATTAGAACAAGTTAAAGGCACTATAGCCAAACATTACCCTGATAAATAATATTTAATTTTCTATAGATCCTAGCTTTTGATCTTTATTGATTATGTTTTCTGAATTTGTATTATTTGCTCATATTTTTTAATTAGTTGAGCGGTGAATTAAATTTGAAGTTGGTACTTTCGAATTGCAAATATTTGCAGTTAAAGTGTTAGGTTTATCATCTTCCTTATGGCGGCATGAGAGAGTTTATACTATGGGAAGAAATCGGTTGATTAACTAAAACATTTTGTTTTACCTAAATATATAACTATAGATTAAAAGATTGACATTTGAGGAAGAAAATTTTGAAGGATGATGTGAGCCCCTTTCATTGTAATAATATGTCATCAGATGATGAATGACTTATGGAGGATGAAAAAGAGGTTACCCCACCATAATTATTAGAGGCATATCTCAATTTTCACTGTTTTGATAAAGGAACAAGAGCAACAGAAACAAATGAGAAAATAGAAAATATTAGAATAAAATTTTATTTAATAAAAATTAGAATAATCAATATAGTCACTGTTTTATTATTCTTATTGGATTTTATTGATTATGGAAGAGGAATGTGATTGAAATTGAAGATGGGGAAGATTGAGAGGATGTTATAAATGAGAATGAGGGAGGTAGAAAGCAATCATGGACGATGATGATTGTAATGAACACCTTCTAAGTGGTGAGATTGACAGAGGCTTTTGAATTGAAAGTCTTAAGACTCGTGATTAATTTATTTGAAGAATGAGGACATGTTTACTTATTTATTTTAGACATTGTGTTTATGTTTACTTGTTTATTATTGAATACTTATTGAGAGATTATTATTATTTATTTATTTATTTTATATTACTTATGTATGTTCACTCATTTATCCTACGAGGATTATTCAGAAATGTTTTATTTTTATATTTAAATTAATTTAATAGTTTAATTTTGAGGCTTAGGCATTGTTTTAAAAAGAAAATGCCTTGATTTGCACAATTTCAAAACTTGTGTTTGACAATATATATATTTTAATTGTACTACTTTCTAGTTGTATGCTTGCTTCCATTTTTCTAGAATTGCATTTAAATTCATGCTTTCTCTATTAATTTTGTTTCCTAATAAACTATATCACTTTTTTAGTTTGATCCAAGATCATGATGAAGGTTATTGGTGAACCTTCTCGGAACTTTATCATAATAATCTAGACTTAAATATAAGGATGTTGTAACCTTCTTTAGATCTAGATCAATAAATTTGAATTTATTTACAGGAAAATTTTTATATGAGATTGTAATTGAATTGATCTTTAAAACATGTTATGGTCATAAATTGTAGGTAAATTATAATTTACATGATATTGATTCTGAACCAAGAGGCCAAAGCCTGACACTTTTTATGGTGTAACAAAGAGATTGGTTTAAATCTATATTTTGATGTTAGAGCTTTGCTACGTAGCCTAATTTCCTAAATGAGAGTGAATAGTCCACAACTATAATATCAGAACCACTATCTTTTAGGTTAACGTGAAAATTTTGTACTTGGAAGTTTTTTCAGTTTAATCATAACCCTAATGGTGGTCTATTGTTTAGCGTTTATTAAAGAATTAAGTTGTCTTGATAAGACATCGATTGGATGATGTATATGCATCAATTTAGGGTTTCAGGCAATGTTACGATTTTACAGCAGTATCAGTCATGTATTACGTAAGTAATAATGGAAGGGGAATATAGAATCGTACAAGATAATAAATCTAGAGTGATCTTACTTGAAGATGTTAGATTCCACCCTTAATTGTTCCTTGAGGATGAATTATTTTTTAATGTTGCTTTGCCTAGATCTCCATGCAATCTTTCTTGATTTCTTCCCTCCCTAAATTCTTTCTCTTCCCTCATATGTTTTATTATTTCTCTTCAAAAGATTTTCTGTTGCTCTTTTATTGTTCATTTTTTTTCTTCATTTTATTTTGGTTTCAGATGTTTACATTAGGGAGGTTGGTGGGTTTATAAATAATGGTAATTGGAGAAAATAAGAGAAAATGAGCTAGAATAGGATGCTCCATGATTTTTGTTCGTCTCCCTTGCAACCCATGCACTCCAGAGAGAGGCTCATTAATAGAGGATGAGAGCTTTTTTGATGTCTCTTGAGAGGCATCAATTAGGATTAGAGAGAATGAGGGAATTGGCTATCAGAGGCAATTGAGTTTATTTTGAAGGAACTTTTTCAACATGTTTTATCTTGACGGGACAATTAATATCCTGATGGTCTCATGTCATAGAATATAGGATCCTTTTTAAAATACTTAAAAAATAAAGAATTATTTAAATTAGGCTAAATGTGACAATTAAATAATAAATACGAAGGATAAGAATGATTTTAAGGAGGGATAAGGAAAATGAATAAAGATCTTAGCATTTAGAAACATGCATTTACTGGATTTGAATTTAGCATTTCAACCTGAGAAAAAGCTAAAATATAATATTAGTCATGCATATTATTTTTTTATTCATTATTAGTGAACAGGAATGACTATAGTAGAAGATGTTGTGAATGATGTATTGTAGAAGTCTTTATACATGTATGCAAAAGCTCATTGGTGAGCGTTTGTTGTGATTTATTATAACATTTAAAGGAAATATAGGGTGAATATCATAATCCTCAATTTAATTGAACATCAACTTCCCATTGTACATCACCTGTAATGATTGATTTTTGTTTGTAAACGTGTGGAACAAATTGTTGGTAGAATATTGATGTTGATATTGATTTTGTAAATAATGAAAAAAACATGGGAGTTACATTGTTTTCCATTGGGCCCAAATGAATGTATTTTTTTTTTGCTTCATGTAGGTCTCAAATAAGGCTGATATTGTCAATAAAGTTGTATATGATATTTTGCAACATGGGGAGGAGTGGAATAAATTCAGAAGGACTAGCTTAAAGAAAAAGATAGATCATTGTCTTCTACTTGATAATTTTGTTCCTAATGTTGGTGTTTCAATGGATGCTCGTGCAAAGGCTTTACGAAGCCATTCAAAGCGGTCACAAAAGCACATGTCTCTACGACAGCATCGGAAATGTGGGACTTTTGATATGCCAAAGGAGCTTCACAAGTGCGTATTAATTATTATTGAATAGTTTCTAACATTATATATGTTGCTTTAGACTTTTGTGGCTTTTGAAATTTATGCCCATAAATTTTTTTATGAAAACGCTTTATGGACTAAATGAAGTGGGAGACCTTCAGTTTTAGCATTTATAATCAAGCTTTAGGGTGGCTGTTTTCTACAATATTTTTTTTTTACAAATTTCAGTTATTCATTATTGCTTTTCTTCTTCTCATGTCCTTGCAGTTGTACATGTTTGATATTTAATCTGTTGACACTTTAAATGTGTAAATGTTACTAGTTTTTCTATGATGGAATGTGTTCCAAATTTAGCTGTATAATACAACTATGAGAGAGTAATGAAACATAGATTTAGAAGCATTACGCCAATTTTCATGCAAGGAAGACCTACTATGAAAGTGATTTGTGTTAAAGACAATTAACGGAAGATATAGAATATAGGATCTTCATATTCTTTTGTTGATCTTGAGAATATGTATGATTGAGTGCCATGATAATTGATTGACAGACAGTTAGGAGTAAATGCGTGTCTTAGTCTCTTTGGTTTCGTTGTGAGTTCAACCTCTTGACCTACTACCAGGAGGTCGCCTTGGGGATCGTCTTCTGATAAATTGACTTAAGTCCATGCATCCTAAACTGCTTCAGATTCCTCAGTATAGTATTGAGCAAAGTATCAAGATATGTTGCAAGGATTGTTCTTCCTCATGAAACTTGCATAGTCTGCATGCTGTCAGGTGTTATATCTAAGAATGCTCTAACAAATGTTGTTACAAGTCTGCATGCTAACTGCCACTAGTATTAAATAATTCAAGCGTGATGCTATATTTAGATTCTTTTGCAAAATTATGAATTATGAGTATTCATATATCTGTGCAATGCATATTTGCATATAGCTTTATTGAATTTCTTATTTTGGGGCATTGACCTTAGTTAGTTATTTGTCCTTGCTAGTTGCAGATTTGAGCTCTTCAAACCAATGCATGACATGTGGAAAGCCTATATCCTTGAGCTCCTGGAAGAATCCAGGTGAGTGTTCTAATTGCTTTGCTCTGTCTTGTTGCTTGGTATTTTATTCTTTCTCTATGCAAGAACTTGGCTACATACTCGAATCTTATCGAACAGTTTCTATGGTCTAGTGATTATCAATTGTTTGATTGCTTTGTTTTTACTTTGTGCTTCCTAAATCTTAATGAGTTACTTTAAATGCTTGGCATATTTCCAAGTCTTTTAGTTGGTTTTACATTTGTACTAATACTGCTTCATACTTATTTATTCCAGTAAAAAACAATTGGCTCAATGCCTTCTCACAGCAGACTTGCATGGTGCTTTTGTTGTTGGTAATAAATGCTCTTTGACCTGAATCATTCTATTGTGTTTATTTTTGGCTGAAATATACTTTAGAGTGGGATACTAATGCACATGTTATCTTCTAATTTTTTATGGATGTCTTTTTAGTTGTTGAGTGTAAAACAAGATCTTTTGTTGGTATAAGCGGTATTATGATTCGAGAAACAGCGGAGACCTTTGGGATAATCAAGCAAGATAATCATTTCCGAGGTATCCTCTTTGAGAAACTTTAAGATTTATAATTGAGTTGATCTTAGTATTATTTCATGTGCTAAATCCTAATGTTTAGTACACAGTGATGGATTAGGAATTTCATGTGGTAGGATTAGGAAGTAAAAAGCGATGGATAATAAACTAAATTTAACATCTCAAATAACACTTAAGAGGAATGAATGCAGAATGACTGATAAAACAAACTCAAACTGCAGAATGTATAATAGCTCATTTGAATGCCGGCAGTGGATGGTTTGTATTGTGTTTTGTAGTGCGCTATAGGTTGCATGGGTAATTTTGCTCGTCTTTCTGCCATTCTGCTTGCTTCTCTTTTGTGGTCACTAAGATCTATTTTGCATATCTGCTAGATGTAATAACAAAATCTTGTTTCATTAAAACCCGTTATGGCTTCTGATATATTGCCACAAAGAGCTTAGCAATTGGCGATTTAGAATATGTTTAATCTTTTGGATAAATTGCATTTTATGAAATATCAATTGCCCTCGTGATTGCATGTGCCGTTTAACAGTTGTGTGGCAATGTTGAAGTAAATTGGCAAGCATGCTTTTTTTCCCTTATGAACTCCTCTACTTGAAGAGAATCATTCGACTTTGCTGAAAATATGATTCCTTAGGCTGTGTTTAACATGAAGGAAATCAGGGGAAAGAAATGGAAATGGAAAACATATTGTGTTTTGGTCTGTTTTTTCTAGGTCTAAAGAAAATCTGGAAATTTTACTACAATTTCTACCTGCTTTTCTTTCTGAAACCGAGCGAGTCATTGGTGAAGGCATGTTTAAGTTGACACTTATCCAATCATCGACTTCATTTTTTTTTCCTTGTGCAGCCACCGCATTTGGGTGGTATGTATATAAGTTCCCCAATGTTTTATTATTAACTCTAGATACAAGAAAATATTATAAGTAGCGAGAGTAGTAAATATCACAAAATCTTGTCATCAATACTCAAACAATTTGCCTTAAAAAACAAAGAAAGAAAGAAAAATGCAATGCCTTAAAAGATTTCCCTTTTCTTTTCATATCCTTTCCATTACTTTCACTTAAACTAACACATCCTTGTGCACGTTTGTGATGCTCTAGTTTGCTTGCGTTGAGTATCAGGAGATGCTATGTAATGGTGCTTGCTGAAAATAATTTTCTTATCTAATTTTGCTTCTTTATTGTTTTATTGCAAGTTGAAGCAGACAATTTACATTAGCTGAAATGCTATATCATATTGAAATTCTTCATTTAACAAATCACATGATTTGATTCAGTGGTTCCTAAGCATGGATCTGTGTTTATATTTCAAGCTGGGTGTTGGAAGGTTACTTTACATGGCGACAAACTTTCTTTGCGGAACATCACCTAATGTTCAGCTATCTACTGGGCTTGTATGTTGTATTTCAAAGGTGAGTTGATTTGATTGCGCTAGTCATTCTTGACAAATGATTACTAATTATGATTTTAGTGATTTCTATGTAAAATTATTACAGTTTAATATACCTAGAACTCGTGGCTTGATAAGCTCAACTGACTAGCTTGTTAATGAGTTAAGTTCGAGCCGACTCAGCTCACATACACCCCTAGGGGCATCTGTTCACCCAATTGGTGGTAAATGTTTACTTTTTTTTGTATTGTTGCTAACAATGATATCTTTGTAAATGTTTAGTTTCTATGATATCGGATAGCACTTTCTAATCTCTTGTTAATTAGAGGTCATGCTATGACAAGAAGATAGCTTCAGAAAAAAAGTAAGTTTTATTTGTCCGAGAAGTTAAACTTCACAACCCCAAAATGCTCAGCTTGTGAAGTTAAAAATGTTTTTTTTTTTTGTTAAATTTAAATGAGAATTTGACTCTTAACAAGTCAATTTTAAAAATGCAGTCAATCCCATGTAGGGCCTTTGTTTCGTCTTGGGCATGCAAATGAGAGGGAGAAGACTGCTGGAGAGTGAGAGTAGCGGGAGAGGTTTTTCAGTAGTTAGATAAGAAACGCGAACGAAAATTTCGTTTTGCAAGAGATGCGACCATACAAATAGTAAAAAAACTAAAGGGAGAAAATTTATTCAACGGTTTGGAATGTGCGATCATGATGTTGTGTGGGGAGATTCACAAGCGACACTTATAATAATAGTACGATTGTAAAATCTCTTCTTTTTATGAATTAATAATATTTATATAAATAGTTAATATACATTGATGGTAAAATTACTTTCATCAAATGTTTTAATTTACATAATTTTATAATATGTCAAAAGGCAGTTTGATTTGAATTCAACTAAGTATAAAAATAAGAGATAGAGAGAGAGAAAAGTAAAAGAAGAAATATATTTTGTCAATCCACAAATTTGAATATTTTTTTTTTTTGCAAATTTGAAGCTTTATTTTCTTATAAGGTTTCTTAATTATTTAAATCTATAGAACTCACTTTAGAGGAAAGTTTGGAGTAGTTGCAGTGGTAGATAAGATTAGAGAGTTGTCTTAGATGGCTCAGTCGCACAAAATGTTACTTTTTGATAATTTAGTTTGGAGAGTAGATGTATTAGATTAGAGAAGTAGAGGTAAAAATGCTCAGCTTGTAATTTTCTTATGGATAAAGTGTACATTCATCCCCAACATAAAAGAAACACTTTCCGTTTGTAGATATTAAAGCTGTTAAAAAAAATGAAACTTGATTTAAGGCAAAATTTGTTCAGTCTTTTGGCTCTACTTGGTGATTGATTTTTAGCTTTAGGTTAGACTTCAGTGGAGAAGGGACTGTCATGACTTCTTTACCAAATTGGAAGAGTGTTTGGCAATTTTTTATTAGGAAATATTTGAAGATATCAAGTAAATCCTAACAAGAGAGACAAAAACAGTAAGAATGATCCACAAATCCGATGGGAAAACAAACAAAACAGTAGTTTTTATTGAAGAACTCAAACTAATTGAAGAAATAAAAGCAAGATTGATCCTCAATTTGAGAGGATGATCTATCTCCCAATCCCTAGACGCCGCTAGAGCCCAAGACACCAAATTCCAAGAACAAGAACAACCACAATAATTTACATACATCTAACGCTGATCTCTCTTCCTACTTAAAGCATGCAAATAATCCTCGCATAATTACTCCCTTAGCCCAAGCCGCTCCTCCCTTTCTATGTGAAATCTTGAATTGGGCCCACCCATGCTTGGGTGGCCCCTTCAAGGGGCGGACCAAGTCCACCTCTTATAAACTTGGACTGGCCCTTGGCAAGGGACCGGCGGCTGGACTAATCCATGAGGGACTGGTCTAACATTTTCCTGTGCTGAATAATCTTTTTTTGTGCGAAACTCTGCTTTTGTTGGCTTCCTAAAAAAGCTCATATCTATTGGTTCTCATCGATTATGTCATAAAATGGTTTGAGGCTATTTTGACCCTTGTCTCTTTGGAACAACTATTGAGGTGGTGGTTAAATTTTTGGGTAGCTATCTTTTGTCAGTTTTTTCTGTCATTGTGACAAATAATAAATTTCAGTTTCCCAGTAAAATATTATTTAATTTCTGTTAAAGGGATGATTTAACTTTGAAATATGTGTTAATTAGCCACGTCTTGTCTAATGGGCAAGTAGAGGTGGAAAACAAAATGATACTAATCATTTTGGAAAAGATTTTAGAGGGCAATAAGTGACTTTTGGTTTGAACTCCATTTGGTACTTTAGCTTACCAAATCAATAATTATCGATGTAACACTTTATACATGAACTTTTGGAAGGGATATGAATGAATTCGTTTAACTATCCACTTAGATCCCATTGATCATAAACTCAGCCTTGACTAGCTTGACCAGTGGCATGAACAAAATATTGAATGGTTGGAGGAGAAGCTTGATCTCTTAGAGGAGTAAAGGGTTGATGCAGAATGGAGACATGTGGAACAGAAGCATCACACAAAAATTTCTTAGAAGTTGCATATGTCGCGGTGTAATTTTAGTTGCTTTATTCTTTGATAAATCGAATAACTTCGGCATCTATTGACCTAAAAAAGTTCTCAAGATAAAGTTGATTTTTACCCTACATGATCTATAAACTAAATGACCAAGTACTCCATATACATCTATAAATTAAACTATTTCTCTAAGAAGAAAAATGAGACATATTTTATCAAGGAATGAGTGATCTAAAAAATCTAATCCAAATAGATAGTGTTTTAGTTCAGCTGAGTTATAAACTAATTTTTTTCACAGCTAAAATTGCATTAGAAGTATTGAAAGGTCATTTAGTGCGCATGCTTTCAAGAAGAAAAGCCAAAGAAATGATTGGGAATTATCCTCATTTCATGAAAATACATGTAATCTAAAATAGTTGCACCAACAAAACTTTTTTTTTTCAAATCTGTACTTCAACATCTTAAACCCTTCCTCTCTATGATAGGTGGCCTCATCAAAATGCTTGGGTCTCTCTCGATAACTGTATTAAAGTTCTCTTTTGAATAAAATTGCTTGCTCTATCCACCGAGACTTAGGGTGGTTAATGGGCGAGCATGGTTGGGAACCTCCCATCCCGAGTTTGAATCCCCTCTACTACGGCCTCACCTCTTCAATGGGGCAAAGCAAGTACGGGTCCGATGCCGATGCGTGGCCTCGCAAAGTTCCGCCGATGGATTAGTTACACCGCCAAGCGCTCCTTTTGGAGTGGTAGCGGATAGATACTCTAGTTCAAAAAAAAAAAGGAAAAAGCTTGCTCCATCGATCTGCCTTAAGAGCTCAAACGTCAGCTTCAAGTTTTATTAATGGTGAGATTTATCAAAATGCCCTTCATCACGAAACATCCTTAACACTGCAAGTCTTACCTTGTCCAACAGATCAAACAATCTTAACTTCACACCATAATATCGCATAAATTAGATAAAAATCAGTGGAGAATTCCATGATATATTATATCTGTTCCTGAATGCATACAAGGAAGATTGCCAATTTTTCTCTCGTCATAGTATAATCTTGAGATAGGCTTCTGTTATATGACAAGTCCGATTCCAGTTGCATCGTTACTTTTAACACTGCTTCCAGAAAATTGATTCTTTCAAAGTTACCATAGGTGCGCGAAGAATAAAAGCTGGAATCATTAATATGAGAAGAATATAAGTTGAATTTATACTTTGCTAATATCTTCAATAGAGAATTTGAAGAAAGATTATGCACCCATATAGGTCTTAATCAAGGTTTAAAATGCAACAGAGGCGCGCCTCAGCCTACGTGAGGCGTACGCCTCACCACAGCCCGCAATTGCGCACGCCTTGAGGCGTTTTTTGCAAGAATTGCGCAGAGGCGCGCCTCTTATTGCGCAATTTTAAACAGTGGTCTTAATTAGTACTGAATGATGCATACGTCAGGATTTAAATCTGTAGCTAACAGGTCGACTTGATTTTTATGTGTATGCAGCTAATTTTCTCTCTTCTTCAAAAATCTTGATTATAGTGATTGTTTTGATATTGTCTGCGATCTCTTCTATGAGACAATCTTCTTCTTCCATTGTAATATTGGTTAAGTTTTTTGTTGGTGGCTAAGACTTTCATGTTGTATAAGAGAATACTTGATTTGTTTCAAAGTTAGGGAAAAATTATGGTTTCTATTATTAATAGAGGTGACTAGTTTTGAACTCCCCTCATAAGGCATTTAGATTATACATCACCTTATCTTTATCACAAATAAGGTCACTAATGAGATTTGATATTTTGTTGCGGTAGTCTTTTGCATGTATTTTTCTTGATTGAATCTCTGGAGTTTGCCTCTTAACTCATTCGCCCATGGCTCAGTAGAGGGCTAGGCATGAACAACTTGATTTACAACTTCAGAGAGAGGAGGTTTGATTTACAACTCGTTTTGTGATCATTGCTTTTCTCAAGGAATCCACTCTTGGTTTACAAGATTGAAGGCTGTGGTCCCTTGTATCCCTATATCTTCACTATTTTTCTTGGAAAAAATTATTCTGCGCAGACACTGAATGTTGTCCGGAGATCAATAAAATGCGTCACGTCACCCTTTTACTGTACCGTGGCTCGGTACTGTTCGGTACCGTGGCTCGGTACTGTTCGGTACCGTGGCTCGGTACTGCTCGGTATCGTGGCATCCGGATGTAGAGTTGTGTTCGGCGTCCGTACAAAATAATCTCCTTTTCTTGGGAGAGTCAAAAGAATTTAGGAGAGGCTATGGAAGCCATAAGTATATCCCATGATCATTTGTCCAAGGTTATGTTTTTTTTTTTTTTTTTGGACAGTTAGGGGATTCGAGCCCGGATGAGATGAGAGGAATTTCTTCCGTCGACCACTCGGCTGCAAACTCGATCTCTAAGGTTCTGTTAAGACAGACCCATGGAGGCAAGTAGTTGTTTGTAGACTTCTTTGTGACCACTTAAATCAAAATATTAGGATACATAAAGGCATTTGGGGAAGAATGGAAAGTGCGATGGTTATCTTATTAAATGAAACAAATAAGAAAAAGAGAAATGGAAACCTAAAGTCTCGTGAAGAGTCACTATTTAGCATCCGAGATCTGATACCATTTAAGTGAAAAGAGCCTGGAGGCTGGGAGATGGCAGCCTACAGGCAAGGAAATCATACGGAGCAAGTAAATAAAATAGCCGAGGAGACTCCTACTTGTTTCGAATCAGTGAGTTATTTTAATATCCATACTCATTTTATTCTACGAGTAAGGATCTATCTATGAACATTAATCAATACTAT